GTATCTTGTATATTTATTATTAGCTATGTGGTATGTGTATGCACCTTTATGTAATCTGGTGGAAAAACATATTAAAATGTAAAACCGGATCATACCAAACAAATATCTGCTTGCGTGTCCCTGTGTATGCAAAGTGTCCTCCTTTTTGATGTGAAGGAAATGGCCACCCTACTAGTGTCATGATAAAATCTGAGACATATGGCTACAAGTGCTGCAACTGGGTGAACCTAAATGAAACTGTCACACCATGACTCATAATTCTCCCTTTTGTTCTCACATACTCGCTCTCTCATCGACCAGTATCAGAACAGAAAGAAAAATAAATCTTATTCTGTGGGTTGCTAATGGCTCAACACTCCCTCTACTGTTTTAAATCACTCTGGATCCTTTCAGCCCAACGCTGACATACTCTACATCTACTCTACAGCCCACTTCCCCCAGTGTCTGCTTTTAGAGGGAGTCTGTGAAACCACTGCGCTTATATTTAAATGAATACTGATCAAGAAGCATCATTGGCAGGAGTTTATGCGTTTATACTAATTTTTGCTAACTCTCTACTTAGTACCACCAGACTGCAATGTTTACCTTGATCCCATGGACTGACAGTCCACCCAGTTCCTCAGTTGTAGTTACACTTTTGAGAACAAGTTTCTTTTAAAATGCCCCCTGATTGTTGATTTCCTGATCATCAGAGCCGTCCCTAGTCTTTTTGGAGCCCTAGGCGAAGGGCGGGAGTCAATAAAAATTGAGCTGGTTATCTGCTGTACAGGGATTCTGGGTTAAGCTGTGATTCACCAATCAGCCTACAGAGAGATTTCCAAGCCATGACACTAAAGAAAAAGCAAAAATTGATTCAATAAAAAAATTATGTCCATGTGAAAATAGGACAAGTATGCCGACTGTTCACATTGGAGTATAACATAAGTCGTCCCTGTATTAGTGACTGATTACTCCAGACTAATCACCACATTATGGTCCGAGCTACCACTGAATGAAAATAGTTTATCACCAATGTAAATCAATAATTAACTCATCTGAAGAGTCTTTGAGTTCCTAAAAAAACACTGTACAATGTATTATTATTACTTATTATCAACATTACCTCTTACACTCAAAGTAATAGTTTCAAATATTATTTTCAGTCAAATTAACGTAAAAAGGAGGTGAGATGGGCACTAAAGGATATTGTTTGTTTATCCTTGATTAAAAGTAGAGTAAAGTATGAAGGTAAATATTACTATCACAGATGGAGCGGCCAGTATCAGCAGCTCGTTGGTAAATTTTACTGTGAAGCAGAAGAGGAGGCTGCAGAGCTGAGGGGGCGAATGCATGTCAGGAGGAGGAGGAGGAGGAGGAGGAGGAGGAGGAAAAGGTTGCTATCTTAGCATTTGTCTGTGGCTGTGTCTAAAACCGTCCAGTCAAAAGAGACGCAATGCATTATGGGGCGGTTGAGTATGTGCAGTAAGCTTACACCGTATACTCATCATATAAGTCCGGGCATTTCTTGCATACACAAAAGTTTAAACAAACTACATACTTAATTTGCAGTACGTTAATGCTTAGTACTATTGTATACGTGAAGCGCTGTGCAATATATAATATACATATATATATATATATATATATATATATATATATATATATAAACACATTTACATCCGGATTGCTGTGGTTCCCCCTCCCCATGGCTGGCAGTTACTTTAACAAACAGAGCACTTCCTCATTTACCACATGTCAGAATGGAGCCCAGTTCGTATGTGTGTGCTGTTTTCCTGGTGTATCTGTGTCAACTGCAAGGTAAAACACACTTTTTCCATTTAATTAATATTCCCTCTTTTGCCTCCTTTTATTTTAAAAATCTGGTTTTTGTACTGTCAAACTAAATCAGTGAAGTATGGGAGAAGTGGAATATAGATCAGAGGGTGAGGATAATTAACCATTATCATCTCAAATGGTGTAATCACTTGGCTCATAACTCCAAAACAACTGCACACATTACCTCTCAGTGTTTCTGATTCAACCAATAGCATATGATAAATTTAAGCAGTTTGACGTAGCTAAATAGTGGATTTTCTAATGGTAGTCTTTTAAAATTTTTTGGGGGCTTTATCGCTTTTAATTGATATTAACAGCTGAAGAGTGACAGGAAAGTGGAGAGAGAGAGAGAGAGAGAGAGAGAGAGAGAGAGAGAGAGAGAGAGAGAGAGAGAAGGATGATACACACGCTGCAGGTCGGATTCCCTAGGCCAGTGCAGCAAGGACTCAGCCTTGTGTGGAAACTGAAAAGATAGCCTTTTTTGTATGAGGTTTTGCCTTTGAGTTACTACCGCTTCCTTGAAGTTTGGAAATAATTGAACAGAGCTTTTTTTTTTACATAAACGTTACACCAGAAGGGGATTTCCTCACAGCCAATGTAAACAGGAATCATTACAGTTAAAATCGATTTAAAAAATAGAACGTATATTCTAGGTATGTGTCTTTAACATAAAAAGATTAGATTAGAAACAAAATACCAAGCAGTTTAAACCTTGCTTTACTGTATATGATGGATTACAGTACATCTTGAAACCTCCTTATAACCAAGAGAGATACACAAACAAAGAATTAGGCTACAGTAATTACAGCAGTTATTGAAATGAAACATACAATGCAAACTGATATTACATTGTAATGTGGAAGAAGAGAGACTCTCATTGTCCATATTTGTAGAAGTGTTGCTGCACTTATAACTCACAGGTGAACGGAATATAACTGCTGCTAACCCACTTCCTTTGTCTTTGGTCTGTTCATGGGCTTGTTCACACAGTTCCCACATAAACTATTCTTTGTATAATGTTCATGAAAATCGAATGCCATATATGTATATGTAATTTAAACATAAATGTGAAAAGTAATAACCTGAAAGCACACACATATTGTTTTTTTACCCAAGAGAGAGCAACAGAAAACGCAGTGGAAAGTTACTGCTCTCCAAGCATCACTGCAGCCGCAGCATGTGTGAGACGCACCTCTCAATTTGTTAACATGGCGGCTAAATACAAATTGATAAGACACGGGCCGTGTGAACCACAGGGAATTCTGTTGGGGAACAGCTGCACCAAACACCACTGGCCCAGACCAAGGGTAAAATATAAAATCACATAATTTATTAGTTAAAAAGTTAAAATATTCTGCTGAATCCGGAGATCAGTCCATTTTGATGGTTCAGTCCACTCAAGTGTCCATACAGCCTTTGGTTTTGTGACAGGAGCCTCCAACGCAGTCTGAATGTAAAGCAATAAGGAATTTAAGGCAGTTACAGAAGTACTAGGGTGGCCATTCGTCCGGCTTTAGGCCGGACAGTCCGGCTTTTAAACCCCCTGTCCGGCTGCAGCCTTAAGCCGGACACTCGTTTGTCCTCCTTTTGAGAAAATAATTAAAAATGTCGCCTTTTGACACATTACCTGTTAGTTTAGTACTTATTGGCTAAAAATGTCTGTCAAAATAAGTAATTTCATTGGTTACATTTTCGTGACCTATCAACACATGGCTCATTTTAATATTCAAATGAGCCTTGTGTTGATTCGCCACGTGATCACCGCAGTTGCTACCACCAGGCTGTCAATCAAACTCTCAGCGACAGGCAAATGTGAGCTAACGTCGGTTGTTGGACTGAAATTCTGAAAATGCTCATACATCCCAGATGTAGATAAGTCTTGGCAATATCCTATACCTATGAAACAGAAGGTGCTGCATTTTTTTATATTCCTTTATCTATCCAGATTAAAACATTAAGAACAGTTTCTGTATGATGTTTATTAGACCTATGTAATCTGGGGGGGGGGAGTTGGGGTGTTTCGGTATTTTTTTTCTCACACACACACCCCCCCACACACACACACACACACACCAATTGGAAATTTTGGCCACGGTGTCAATTATTTATTTCATTACCTGTAGCAAGCAGTGTCATTCTGGAGTTATTTTGAAGAACTGACTTTTCTAAACACAAATGGAACTATATAAAGTCTTTCAGTGCCTTTAAAGAGAACTCATATGACAGCAACAACATTTTGTACCTCTGTGGTTAGTGTTAGGTGACTAAAACAGCTTTGCTAAGGTTAGAGAAAGATAGTGGTTAAACTAAACATTTGCCTTTAGAATAATTTAAAAGGACTATAAACAGGCACATGGTCCTTATTTAAAATCCATCTTTCTGTGTGGAGTTTGCATGTTTACCTTTTTCTCATAGTTTTAAGTTTATATGTTAAATTGCATGTGAACGGGTGAACAATAATGTGGGTAAAATAAAATCTCCAGTTTTCCAGAAGAGACTGAATGGAAAGACTCTGTTATGTTGAAAAGAACAATAGTAAGTAAGTAAGTAAGTAACATCTTACTCTCATTGGACCTTTGTTAAACTCTCTATCGTAAGTTGTGTCTAAAGTCAAAGTCAATTCCATTCAATCCATTTTCCAACCCTTGATGAACCATGATAAGATGAAGGGGCTTCTTCATTTCAACAGATGATCCAGTTTGTTAGACATATAGTAAGAATGGAGTTACATTCAGTATTGACTAAGTAATCATATATTGTGTGTAACTTTATTGTATTATGTGTGTTTTACAGGGTCCAGTGCTGAGACTCCTGTGTTTGTGCAGAAGGGAAATGATGTTCTTCTGAATGTCATGAAAGCTGATGTTGTTCAGGAAATTTTTTCTGTTGTGTGGACCTTCAAAAAAAAGGACGTTTTAGTAAGATTTTCACCTGGTAGAGAACCAAAAGTCTCTCTCTAATTACACTGGAAGAGTTGAGTTTTCTGTGAATGATTATTCTCTGAAAGTGAAGAATCTACAAGAGGCAGACAGTGGAGTTTATACTGCACGAGTGATAGGGGATATAGAGGAACTAACTGAATACAACGTCACAGTTCAAGGTAGGTTTGTGAACATTTCAGACACTAATAGAGAGTTTCTGCTGTCATGTTTCTAAAACATTTCACACAAACCTTCCATCCTCAGATGCAGTGTCTCCAGTTAAACTGAAGGTGGACTCTGTGTCCAACAGCTCAGACTCCTGTAACCTCACTGTGACCTGCAGTACACAGGACTCTCACATCAGCAGCACTATTAGATGTGACACCAAAACCTGCAGTCAGGAGGGAGGAGAGCAATCAGAGGTCACAACATCTGGGGCTTCTCTCCATGTCTACCTGGTGAATCACTCAATCATTTGTAACCATAGCAACCAGGTCAACTGGACCAAAGACATTAAAATGACTGAAGATTTCTGCCCTTCACTTGCTGGTAAGACTGAAAGACAAAGCACTTGCTGATAATATGTACAGTTTGGAATTAGGTTCAACTTAGAGACTGTGAGCATTTTGTTTTTTAAGTAAACTTTTATATATTCAAGTCAATAAGTTATGAACCTGCTAATCAACCCTGTATGGTGAAAAGGGTTGAAATAAACCCCTAAATTGTATACTACTACTAATAAACCTAAAGTAGAAAGTACAGAAAGCATGAGAGTTATCGTAGCGGAAATTACCTCACTGTGTTGAACAATAATGAGTCTGGAATTTTAAATGTTGCAAATTTTACTACAAAAACTATTTACCTATTTCACTGTAAAGTGTTGTGAACTTCTTGGACTGGAAATATAAGAACTTATATTCCCTACCCAACTGTGTAGGGGAGGGATATAAAATCGACTTCAAGCTGATTTTTTATATTTGAGTGAAAACTTGTAAAATTAAAAATGATGAGCCTTATCATTTAGTTTTTGAGCTAAAAGGTCAGTTGAATTTTCTGTTCAGCTGTAATATAAATATATACGAGCTATCATTATTAACCTTAACCTGGGTGGCCTCGTAAAACTAAGAGACAGGTGGTATTTACCTTTTCTTGTTTATTGACCTTAGTGACCTAATTATTATTAAATTATTTATCTTACAGATGAGGTATTTTACCAATAAACCTGTATAATTAAAACTGCAGTCTGTAAACAGTATTTATGTTGTTTGACTTAAACCAGTCAGCATTTTCTAATCTGGCTTTTGTTTTTCTTTACAGAGTCTGGACCACCCCGCAACAGCCACATTGTCATTGTCATTGTGGTTGTTACCATTACAATTCTCTGCATTTTTGCTGTCTCTGCAGTTTGTTATCGTCGAAAGAGAAGAACATGTCCAGGTGTGCATTTTAAATCCTATTTGTTTACTGTACAGCCTCCTAGTGAAGTTCATCATCTACTATACAATCCCCATTTATTAGAAAATGCAATTACAGTAATTGTATAATTAACATTGTTCATTCTTTACCATAGCCGCTGTTATATGTAGTCTATATGTAGTTGTTTTTTTAACGTGATTATTGCATATTACAAATTAGTCAATTACCAGAACTGATTCTTCACTGTAAAAAAATGAGACAATCTTAAAGTTGGTACGATCTTTATGGTTTTGCCCATTCACCCTTAGCATCTCCTGGGCAGATCTCAGGTGAGATCCCAGGGGGGAGGAAATGGAACATCAGCTCTAGGAATCACTGGCATCACAATAAATACAAATCCTAAACATAGAAGCTTTAAAGTGTGCTGCTGTGTGGAGTTATTTAGACACATCCAAAATGTATAGGTGCAGCTAAAGTTATGTAAATGTAATGTGGTTAAGTAGTAGAAGTAAAGCTCTCATGTAAAGCAACATGTATTTTTTATGACCTGCAGATAAAAAAGAGAACACAGAAAATACGATATATGCAGTTCCAGAGGTAAGTGAGGTAAGTGACAAGGTTTTTTTTAGCATCACATAACTAACCAGACAAACCAGGGAACAGAATTTTTCTGATTTTTAACAATTTACCAATTGAGACTGGAAATGTTTTCAAAATCAAAAGCTGGAGCCTCACATACTTCTATTGGCTACCCCTGTCCGCTCCAGTCACTATACATTTTACTGACAAGGTGGTGATATTTACTGTACGTGACCTGTGACTCCTCGCGACTAACTTCTGCATCTACCTGCTGTTCCAGGTCGTGTTGCTTTCTCCCACATGCACACGTCACTGGTTGTGCTGCTTCCTTGTGCTCAAATGTCCTGCTTCTGACCAGATAAACCTGATGATGCACCATCCACTCAATCTGCAATGTGTTTCTTTATTCTGCTCACGTGTTGTTTGCTTGTGTTTTATTATAGTTTTTCCATCATTTTGATGCAGTTTTAGAAACAAAAGCTCAATTTCTGAGAATACTGTAAGTGCCACAAACACTAAAACAGCAAATACATGTTCCAAAAGGTGTTGTGTTCTCAAAACTCTTCATACAATTATTAATTAAGAACAAAGAGCCAATACTGCAACAATGTCTTTTACTTTAAGTCCTGTATTTTCTTCTCTGTTTGCTTCTGTTTGTTGGCTCACATTAGGCAACACAGGCAACGTGACTTCATACTGAGCCACAAATGTTGTACTTCTGCATATTCTTACACACTGAATGGTGAGAATATTGTGAGCAGAAGACTCTTTTGTGAAATCTGCACTCAAGAAGAGAAATTGTGTAATTTTCCATCTTTTTATAAATGCAACGTACTGCATGTGTTGTCAAAGCCGTGTGAATGCTTTCTTTATTTGCTTGAGTTCTAGCTGTAGTGTGTTGTTAACTGTCACCTCTTTTTGGACACAGTGAAACAATGTTCAGTGCCTTACTGCTCTTGATGAAAAATGCCTAAAAAAATAGTATAATGTTATGAAAACCATTCCTCTCATTTTAAAAATTTTGTAGTTCTTGGTGGATATCTGTTAATAGTGAGATTACTTCACATGTTGATGCAGTATGTCAACACCATTAGAAATACAGTGTAAAGTAAAAATGGTAACTTTTTGTAAAAATGTTGTATGTTATGTATTTTTCAGATGGAAGCTGTGGTCCAGCCTCCAAATCCAACTAATGATGCTTCAGATCCTTCTACAGTGTACTCCATGGTGGGAACTCACACTGGACCCACTGAGACTAAAGTCGACCCTCTACCAGAGAGCCTGTATTCTCAGATAGAAAAGCCTGCCAGCTCCTGAAACAGTTTTCACCATCTTCACACCTTGTACAGTATCTATCATAGTTTACATACAGAGAGTTGCAAAATAACGTAAATAATTTCCTGTTAGGGATATACGGTGTTATAGGTACTTGAATAATTTATTGTTTCTAAAAACAGACTTCAACTGAAAATCCCATTTAAAATCAAATGATTTATCCTTGTAGAGTTGTTATTTATTGTTGTTGTGCATTCAGTGTATCAATGGTCCCTCTGTTGACTCTGACAAGCTCTGATCGATTTCTTGCTAAAAAACTCACATTATTAGATTCAAACTTTATTGTCATTGTCATTGTGTACAGGTACTGAGACAATGAAATGTAGTTTAACAGTATAAAGTAAGTAAAAAGAGATCAGTGACACAAGATCTTTTGGCTTCATTAATTCATAAAAGATAATTTTACAGCTTTAACTTGTGTCCAATAATGGTGTATGTTCCAGAAAGTGCTTTGCTTAGTTAAAGAAAAAGATTAAATATTGTCAATTATCAGTGTTTTGCTCACATTAACATTGCATTTTATTAAATGTTTATAAATCTTTCTGAGAACATTGTAACTAGAACCACAGTATTACATAAAGTGTATTGATCGAGGCTTTTTATTGTATGCTGTTGTTCTTTTTTCAATATAATATAAAAGCATTTTCTATCATGGTCATCTCTGTACAATTATTTTATTTACAAATGAAGCACAGTCATTATTGGGTAGAATCAATGGGTAATCAAAGAAAAATTAACAGCATTTGTTTTATTTTCATTTCCCTCCTAAAACATTTGCAACGGCCAATTTTTACAAATATTGTATATCCTGTATTGGTTACATCCACGTTTGCTGGCTTGCAGACTTCTACTTCCTCTACTTACATTTCTTGGTGTGTTACAGCCACCAACTGTCCGTCAGTGAAATAGCATGAAATCAGTGGCAGGAATGTGCAGACTTGGACATACACAATACAAACAAAACAGAGACTCACTCACTCATAAAACAACTGCTCCATAATGCTGCTAGAGGTCAAAAACTCCACTGGGTACCTTTAACTAAAGAATGTGGGATACATGTTGCTCCACATGGACATGGAAAGTTATTTTTCTAACCTTTTTGTGTTATCCTCAACATTTTCAGTGAATGTATTTGTTTACGTGGTTTGTATATTTTGAGATGTGAAAATAAAGTTAAGGAATTGGTTGGTAGAGAATCGTTTATTTGTGCTTCTTGAGCTTCTCCATGATATGAACACTGATGACGGCAGACACCATGATGATCAGACCGACAGACAACACGACAGTCTTCACCAGACACACAGAGATACCAGCAGAGACACACTCTGAACCTGAAACACAACAAAACAGCATAGTTTCATTACAAAACTGATCTACACTGTGACACTACAACAACAGGAGTGGAAGCAACAAATCAGTTATTCTTCTCACTGTATTTGAAATAACATTTTGTGTACTTTGTAGTTTACTCCATTACTGTACAGTTTTTTACGGACTGTTTGTGCATTATTGTTAAACACCATGATGATAGTTTTAGGTTAATTTTATGAAACAAAATTGGTTTATATGCTCTACTGTAATTTAGTAAAAGAGACAAATAGCAAATTCATTGGCAAACACAGTAACACTGTATTAGTCAAAAGAAATGTGTCAGGTCATCATTTAACTGAGTCTATTAATTGTTGTTATCAATTTTCAATTCAATTCAAATGGTATTAATTGGCATGGGAAACAGATGTTCAAATTCCCAAAGCAAATGCAAAATCAAAATCAGAATCAGAAATGCTTTAAATCAACTTATAAAAACAAATATATTTATTCATATTAGTAAAAAAAAAAAATAAACTTTAGTAAAAAACGAAAAGTTTTTAGTAGTGGTTGTTTTTGTCTTACCAGCATGTTGGGGGCAGAAATGTTCAGCCATTTCAATGTCTTTGGTCCAGCTGACCTGGTTGCTATGGTTACAGATGATTGAGTGATTCACCAGGTAGACATGGAGAGAAGCCCCAGATGTTGTGACCTCTGATTGCTCTCCTCCCTCCTGACTACAGGTTTTGGTGTCACATCTAAAAGTGCTGCTGATGTGAGAGTCCTGTGTACTGCAGGTCACAGTGAGGTTACAGGAGTCTGAGCTGTTGGACACAGAGTCCACCTTCAGTTTAACTGGAGACACTGCATCTGGGGATGGAAGGTTTGTGTGAAATGTTTTAGAAACATGACAGCAGAAACTCTCTATTAGTGTCTGAAATGTTCACAAACCTACCTTGAACTGTGACGTTGTATTCAGTTGATTCCTCTTTTTTCCCTATCACTCGTGCAGTATAAACTCCACTGTCTGCCTCTTGTAGATTCTTCACTTTTAGAGAATAATCATTCACAGAAAACTCAACTCTTCCAGTGTAAGCAGAGAGGACTGTTGGTTCTCTACCAGGTGAAAATCTTACTATACCGTCTGTTTTATTGAAGTTCCACACAACAGTAAAAACGTCCTGAAGAACATCAGCTTTCTCGACATTCAGAAGAACATCATTTCCCTTCTGCACAAACACAGGAGTCACAGCACTGGACCCTGTAAAACACACATAATACAATAAAGTTACACACAATATAAGATTATTTGGTCAATACTGAATGTTACTCTATTTCTACTATATGTCTAACAAACTGGATCATCTGTTGAAATGAAGAAGCACCTTCAGCTTATCATGGTTCATCAAGGGTTGGAAAATGTCTTTAAAAGTGTTTTGAATTGATTTTGACTTTAGACACAACTTACTATAGAGGAGTTTAACAGAGGTCCAATAACAGTAAGATGTTACACAAAGTATTTTGTTTTCTTTTCAACATAACAGAGTCTTTCCATTCAGTCTCCTCTGGAAAACTGGGGACTTTATTTTACCCACATTATTGTTCACCCATTCACATGCAATTTAACATATAAACTTAAAACTATGAGAAAAAGGTAAACATTCAAACTCCACACAGAAAGATGGATTTTAAATAAGGACCATGTGCCTGTTTATAGTCCTTTTTAATTATTCTAATTGCAAATGTTTTGTTTAACCACTATCTTCCCCTAACCTTAGCAAAGCTGTTTTAGTCACCTAACACTAACCACAGAGGTATGAAATGTGTAGCTGTCATATGAGTTGTCTTTAAAGGCACTGAAAGACTTTATATAGTTGCATTTGTGTTTAGAAAAGTCAGTTCTTCAAAATGTGTGTGTGTGTGTGTGTGTGTGCGTGCGTGTGTTTGTGTGAGAAAGACAGTAGAGCCAGCCGACCACGCCCCCTCCTGCACTGCACTCAGAGTAATTGGCACACACAGAAACATTTCCCTTACAGCTCAGCCATTCTTGTCTGCATAGTAGGTTTAGTTTGGTTAGTGTTGTGGTTTGAAGTTATTCTTTTGTATAATTCTTGCATGTTTACTTGAGTAACTTGTTATTTTGTTTGTATTGCTGTGTTATGTTCTTTTTGCTTATGTTTTGAGAAGCAAGCCACTATAGTAGAACAAACCACCTGCTGATAAGCAGAGCATGTAAATACCCAGTCCACCTTCAGTTTAACTGGAGACACTGCATCTGGGGACGGAAGGTTTGTGTGAAATGTTTTAGAAACATGACGCAGAAACTCTCTATTAGTGTCTGAAATGTTCACAAACCTACCTTGAACTGTGACGTTGTATTCAGTTTGTTCCTCTATATCCCTTATCACTCGTGCAGTATAAACTCCACTGTCTGCCTCTTGTAGATTCTTCACTTTCAGAGAGTAATCAATCACTGAAAACTCAACTCTTCCAGTGTAAGCAGGAGAGACTGTTGGTTCTCTACCAGGTGAAAATCTTACTAAAACATCCTTTTTATTGAAGGTCCACACAACAGAATAAACGTCCTGAAGAACATCAGCTTTCATGACATTCAGAAGAACATAATTTCCCTTCTGCACAAACACAGGAGTCACAGCACTGGACCCTGTAAAACACACATAATACAATAAAGATTACACACAATATAAGATTATTTGGTCAATACTGAATGTTACTCCATTCCTAGTTCATGTCTGAAGCAGGCTTTGTATTTCAACCAGTGATCATCATAGTCACTTTGGACTTCACATTATGATAACATTTACTTCAATATGTTCAGTATCCTACGGCCTCTCTTATTTCCCAGTTTGTACATCCTCGACTCCTCTCCTAGCATCTTAGTCCCTCCCACCAGAGATGAGAACGGAGGAAGCAGAGAGTCAAAGCAACAGGCATTTAACAAATTAAGATGGCCTTGCTTTAGAATCAACTACTGCACAGCTGCATCATCTTCCCATTATTTTCTTATAGACTACTGCTGTATTTTACTCTGTCAGGTGAGCATAACAGTGTTCATAACAGTAATTATATATTTACTGTTAATTCAATTCACAACTTGGAATAATGTGACAAGAATGTAGTCTATGGATGTCATAATAATGTTCCCTACTGCACCAAACTCACTTTAGGAAACAGGACATCTTAACAATGCTGTAACAACAAGGTACTCTATCATAAGATAAAGTGTGTCAGATGTCCACAGTCTTCTTGTCAATTAGGCAACAATATAATCCATAAAGCTAAACTTTCTGACTATTCTGTCGCCTGAACTCAGTACAGTGTCTGTTGTAAATTGGAGACTGTGGGATTGAGAGGCAGACCATATTATTTATCACTCAAATAAGTGCTGACTGTTGGATTAAATATATGCAGAATTAAACACAGACTCTGTTATTATGTGTTTGTTAGTGTTTGAGGAGTTTTGGCCATTGCCATAGTAACTACCTGTATGAAGGACAATGAAAAGACTTCCAAAAAGGAAACACCTGTATATTCTCACATGAAATGATTGTATACTTCACTGCTCGATGCCACTAAATCCTAAACTCTGGTCCTTCAAACTGTTTTTTGTTAAATTCTACACAAAGAAGCAGGAGATATTCATGAAATGACTCCATTTTGTGTTTCTTTCCTTTTAAATTCTTAGAAATCAGTCCCTGTCTTTAAATATATAATCATTTGGTTGATGTTTTGCATGGTTAAACATACAAAGGAAGGCTCAATAATCTTCTCTTCCTAACTTCCTGATAAAAAAGCACATTGTATCAGACAGCACATACAGGCCTTGTGTTGTAATCGTAAAGTAAAATCTAAAGTCGTGGTTCTCAATTCATAAATCACAATAAAGAAGTCTGATGATGCATTGCATTGCTCTATCTGTTAATAACTTTTAATTAGACAGTGTCATTATCCTACCTGGTGCCTCAGTGCAGACCAGCAGTCCCAGTATCACAAAGATAGACATTATAGAGTCTCTGACTGGTTTCCCTGTCGGACTACAATAATGTATGTGTTCTGTTTTGCTCTAACAGACACACCACAGTGTTAAAGTCTTTTCATAGCTGTGTTTTTCCAGTCAAACCACACACAGTTTCACAATGTGAGCATGATGTGAAAAAGGTAACTCCTCTGTAAGACTGCTTGGTATCTGTTGATAGAGACCAAAATATGTCCGAAATATGTAAAAGAAGAAAAGATGATAAACAAGAG